ACCAAATATGCATTTTAAGGCTTGAAATCACAAAATATTTTTATTTTACATAAAGTAAAAATTCCTTTGATAATAGTAATATGGTAACATGAAAAAATATATATAAATAGAGCTTCATCTACAAGCTTGTACAATATTTCACTAACCATCTTTTTAGTTAAAACATTGAAAAACCTTATGAAATATATATTGCATAGAATTGTAAACAAGGTATACTGTTGAAAAAATACTGACCTTTCAACTTTAACATAATTACTAAAAAGATATCTTGACTAATAGCCCAATCTGCAACGATATACCGGTCCGGCAATGGCCTAGCGCAGGCTGTGGAGCTGGCCCGTATCTGGCTGGCCAGCACTGGGCCAGCGCCGATTTGCTCACTGGCTTTGTCACGGTCCGGCACTGGCTTGCCAGTGCAGGCGCAGTGCTGGTGTTTCAGTGGTCCGCCATTGGCAAGCCAGTGATGGCTTATCAGCGGTCCGCAAATGGCAAACCCGAACTGGTCTAACGCAGGTCCCCAAATGGCTCACCGGAGCGGGATTAACGGTACATCAAAAAAGCTTTAATAAATATCTAAGTAGCTTTAATAAAAAATATTTTAAAATTATTCAACAAACCATTAATACCCTTATAATTTGTAAAATAACATAAAACCAGGTATAAAGAAATATATTCTGTAATTTGAACTAACACATGTACATAATAAAAACATAACCACAACATAAAAAACAATATTAATACACGAAAAATATAACTACATTATGAATATGGGAAACAACTTTTAAAACGTTTCTGAAGAAACTATAAGGTAGCAGCATTTAGCATAACTAATTTTTAACATAACTAATTGTTTGAGTCGTCTGAGCAGAAAAGTGGCAAATGATGCAGTAAAACTTCCGCTGAAGTTTTAGGCGCTACTAAAGGTTGTTCTATAACTGCCGATGAAGCTGTAGGCATTAGTGCACGATGTTCAAAGTGAGTTTTTTTTATTGATTGTCGAATGGCTCTTTGTTTTCTACCACCATTACGATCACTAGCCCCTGCTAAATAGTGAACCACGGCCTTCTGCACATCACTTTCTGAAGCACCTTTCGTTGGTGGATTTCTTCGCAATGCTCCTGCAAATGTGCATCATAATATAATACGCAGTTATGCCCTGACTTAGTTCACATTATTATAATAACATTTAATATTACTAAATAAAATATTTGCTATACATTAAGTATATCTAGTAACTAAAATTTAATATCATAGAATAAGCAATTTTGATGCAGTAAACAACTGTTTCTGAGGTTCATTTGCTAAATTATAGGTGATATTAACAAAAATTAAGTTTCGCTTACTTTCCAGAACTTGTCGGCATTTCAAGTCACGAAATGGTTTTTTTAAATTTTCACCAAGTCCTGACCAATTCATTTGTTTTACTACGTCGTTTTCCATTAGAGAGGAAACCATCCTTCTAACGGCTTCCTTCAGGTCCTGACCGCCCTTCGAAGCAACACCATGCACCTAAACATTAAACCGTCGACATTTAGTAGTTTATTTCATCTGCATTTTGGCAATATCATAAAAATCATAGAAATAAATAAAAACAGTTACTAGGATGAGGCCAGGTTGCATTTGAAAAAAAAGCATTTTTGATTAGCAAATATATATCTTGCTCAATTTTTATGCTAAAATTTGCTTGAATTAGAGAATTTGCTAATAAAAAAAGGGGAGGCGATCGAAACTGGAACCTCCAGGGGGTTCGTGTTTCGATCGGTACAAACCTGAAGATGAAGCAAAACTATAAGTAAGATTAAATTTAGTTATAGATTGTAAAGTATTGCTTACTTCAAATAGATCATAAACTCTCGCATGCAAATATTTTTAATACATAAGATGTTTTTAAAATATCAAATTTTTTGGAGAAATTTATTATTAAGTCAAATTGTACTTACAAGTTTACTAAATAACAGATTGTCTTTAGTAATTATATCTTCAAGCTGCTGCAGCTGTTTTTGGTCACATACAGGAAGATCAAGAGTTTCAAAAATGTTGCCATTGTCTTGTATCCCACCTTGTGACAAAGTCTGCAACATAGTAGTGTTGTAAGTAGTCTGCTTCTGAAGATTAGCTACTTCGCTTTTCAGCTCAACTAAAAGAGTAAATATTTTATTTAAAACACTGTTTGATGTTTGTGCAGATGTATGACTAGCTGCTGTAGACAATTCTGTGGCATTCAAACTAGTAGCTGGAATTGACAAGCTAGTCGGAATATTAGGAACAAGGTTGGGTATCACTTGTTCTAACTCTCCTTCTATAAAGGCGCCTGCTGAAACAAATGATATATCTTCTAAATTACGCCGACTGATTGTATGCAATTCTGATGCTGCATGTGTTGAAGTTCGGTAACAAGCAGCAGATGTAGATGTTGCAGATTCCCAACTACTTGTAGTTGCAGGTGTTACATATTGTTGACTAGCTACATGTGATGTAGATAACTCAGAGCCTCGTTCAATAGCTCTAGTAAATGGCTGTGAAATTGATTCTGGTATGGCTCGTTCACTGATTACAGGAGATGAAGGTGTTAAAGAGCAAGGATAAGACACAGGAAATGGAGGTGCTTTAGGGGCTGGTTTGTGAGATTTAGTTTTCGATCGACTGTTGCTCCCTTCTGCAGAACCTTCCCTTTTCTTAGAAACTTGGCAAAGGGGTTGTTTATTTATTTGCTGAGAATCCTTGTCAGAATACTCATCACTATTATCGTTGTCATCTTCAAGATATTTCTGAATACTAAACACACACAAAAAGGAATAATAAATTACATTAAGTGCAATATATTTATATACGTAGAAATTTCATTGCACTATTTGTTTTTTAACACAATAACTATTTCGTTTAATTAATTAATATTACTTTATATAATAAATTAATTTACTCTATATAATACTTGAACTTACCGTTTTGTACGTAGTCTTGAAACATCTACATCACTCTGTAAATCTGATGTTATCTCAGCTTTACCAAGTTCAGATCTGGCCTTTGCATACGAATCTGTGATAAAAATTGTAGTAGACTTTAAACAAAATGTTGATTTTGAATCCTGCTGATATATTAACCATTTTATTTAACTCAGAAAATGAAAACAAACATATCTAGAAACATAAAACAACTCAAGTCAAATTTAATATTTAGGAAACTAATATATCAATGTGTCAGTAATATATATTTAACATTTGTGAAAAATACCAATTTATTTTTGCATCCTTTTATTATAATGTCAATGTCAATGATATTATAATAAAACATATAAAACTTGCCTTTGGTCCCTAAAATTCGACAAGAATGTTTAGACCATTTTTCAGATGGTATTTCACAATTTATTGCCGCTTTATTTTTTCTGTCTTGACTGGTATATGGAGGCCAATAACACAACTCGCTGTTGATCAGCCAAGCTGCAGGCACAACTGCAACTGCATCATCCTCCTCCAAGAAGGCAACGATAACATACTTTTCCATAGACATCCTAAAAGTGCAGAACATTATAATAAATCTGTTACAAATTCAATTATAATATACCTACAACATAATATATATATATATATATTATATATAAATGTGTATCTATATATGTATATGTATATATATATATGCATATATATATATATATATATATATATATATATATTATATATAAATGTGTATCTATATATGTGTATGTATATATATATATATATATATATGCATATATATATATTTGTATATATATCTATATATATATATATATATATATATATATATATATATATATATATATATATTATATATAAATGTGTATCTATATATGTATATGTATATATATATATATATATATATATATATATGCATATATATATATATATATATATATATATATATATATATATATATATATATATATATATATAAACAGTAAATAAAAGCTGAAAAGAAAAATAAGACTTACTTTTAAGTAAAACCTTTCTCAATATTTTTCTTCTGTTATTTAAAAATTCTCATTTTATACAGCCAAAAATAAGGAAGTAAAAAAACAATAAAATATTTTATGTTGTAATAAAGTAATTCCACAAGTTCATATAATTGAAGTACTTAGAATACTCATTTTATAAAGTCAAATATAAGGAAGTAAAAAAACATTTAAAAATGTTATGCTGTAATAAAGTAATTCCACAAGTTCATATAATTGAAGTACTTAGAATACTCATTTTAGGTAGTCAAAAACAAGGAAATAAAAAAATATTTTATACTGGAATAAAATTCCAGAAAGTTCAAATAATTGAAATACTATTTAAGTATTTTCAGACATCACATTCATTTAGAATTTATTAGAACAAACACATTAAACATTATTTGTTGCAATAAAATACAATTGAAGTGTTAAACTAGCTATAATGCAATGATATATATATATATATATATGTATATATATATATATATATATATATATATATATATATATATATATATATATATATATAAAATAATATATAGGGTGGTTTTTTTTTTTAACTTTTTTTTAAAAAAACAACCTCTAAATGTGTGCAAAATAATAAAATAACACTAGGTTTAATTTTTTTTTTTGAATAAAAAATATTTTAAGGGGTCCCCCCAAGTCCCTTGTATATTTTATATTAAAAAATAATAATTAATTATTTGGAACAAAAATAATTATTTCAACTTATTTATCAAAATTATCATTAAAAAACTTTAAAAAAAGCACTTGTCTGATTTGTCTAAAAGCAGTTATTACTTGCACCAATTATTTATATACCTAAAAACAGTTATTACTTGCACTTATGATTTATAACTGAAAATAGCATTACTTGCACTTTATATGATTAATTGATTATAATTATAATATCTAAAAACAATATTCAACATTACATAGATTTTAACTATTTATTCTATTAAAATTATTGCATTAATTTGTTTACTTGAACACATTGATTTTGTTCTAAATATAATAATAAATGCTCAAATCATTTAAAAACATTTTTTTTCGATTGAACAAAATTTCATTGCACAAATGTTAAAATTGCATCATAGGAATGACAGCATAATCATTATCAATTGGTAGGCGAACATATTTTCTTTTAACTTTTGTTGGTGAACAGTATATCAATTCGTTTTCCAAGAAAGAAACTTTAAAAATATCCACCTTCATAGAACAGCATGGGTATGTAAAAAAATCTTTAAGTTTTTTGAACTGTTTATACGAAATAAAGGACTGCTCAGCTGTTTTTACAATATTCTGCACAATAATTACTTTGCCATTGTTCAAGCTAAAACAGTTATCTCCATCTGTAATTTTTATGCACCAACGCTTGGTAAACAATTCCTTGTACTGAGCACATACTTTCAACAATTTGACGACTGGCCCTTTATAATGCTCCTTCTTAAAGTATGTACTATTATGCTCACTTTCGTTTTTTTGTTTTTGTTGAACTGCTCTCTTCTCACCAAGTCTTCGAACTATTTGCTGCAAAGGCAAGTGAGGCTTCTGAACGAGTTTCTTTAACTGAGATAATTAATTCTCAAATGGAAATGATGAAATATTGTCCAGAGGACCAAATTTTTTGGCATCATTTGACAAATGTACCAGCCCATGCATATTATATGTAATAACTTCTTTGCCATAAACCTCCGAGACATGCTCTACAAATAGCAATAACAAACTATGCGCATACGAAGCATATTTCTTGCATAGAAATTCACTTAGCAAGATGCTCATAGCAACAGATAAAAGCATAAAGTTATTATAAAGTGGAGGTGAAAGAATCCTATCAAAGCAAACCATGCCTGTATAAAGCAATAGTTGCCTAAATTCTGTTGCTTTCCAACGTTCAAATTCATGAAATGGCCGTGGCTTACGCTAAATGCATGTAGTCTGCAGGTACCTGTGATATCATTCCTAATGATGGAATAGCAACAAGAGGGCTTTTTCCACAATGATGTTTCTGATCTTTCATTTCTAGAAATGATGAGTCTGTTCTAAGAGCTGCTGCTGTTTCCGGAAAAGTTGTACGCCCGGCATAAAAACCATGTTGTACACATTTATCACATCCATGATATGCACTGTGACCCTTAATACATTTAATAAAAGCTTACGCTGGGGTGTCACAAACCAGAGCAGAAATTTTTATTTCATAACACACATTGTTAAATATGATTCCTGTTTCCTGAAGGTCTTTTATTTCCTCAACAAAGTCTTTCAAAAATGCATTAATATCAGTCGGCTTGCTATTTCCACAGTATAATGCAACTGTAAACGACTCCCTATTTGTTTGAACCACACCATCAAAATGTTCCATTAAACACAGAATTGGCCACAACTGTATCTTTGAACTTTTAAATAATAGCAATCCATCAATATTGAATTGTAACATAATTACCTGATTCACTGTCGTACCTTTAGCAACTAACTGTGACAATCTATTAACAATCCCTTGCTTTATGCCAAAATAACAATATGAACTGTCACGTACCTCTTTCTTGTAGATTTCAGACTGCATTACTGTTTTTGGACTTTTTGGCAAATCAGGGCAAATTTTTCGTAAAATAGTCAGCAAAGCAGCTAACGCAGTAAGTGTAATATTAAAAGAACATGACCATGATGCCAAATCTGTTACAAGTTCTTCCATCATACTGAACTGAGAGCTTTGGTCAGATTCAGAATCGCTCATAATGGCATTTTCAACTTCGTCATATTCATCAACATCACCCAAAGGTGATGCAAAATTCTCTGATGTCTCACTGCAATTGTTAAATAAAGGGTTGAATAAAGGAGTTTGGCTGCTTAATTCAGTAACAGGAACCACTAATGTTTCAGACAATTGAGGTGATAAGCTTGCTGTAGCCCATTTCTCTCTAACATCAATATTACGCTTTTCAGTGTCAATTATTTCAGTTAAAATATGTTGCACTTCGCCTCGAATCTTTCTTCTTTTTGTCCAGTAACTCATTGCTAAAACTGCTTAAAAGTAGCATAACTTTCAGTAAACAGCAAACAAAATAAAAAAATAAAAATATTTATTTTTTACAGTAATGGTTTACCTTAAGATTAATTGCTTGAATAGTTTTTCACCAATTTGAATCCAAAGGGTTCTATTCAGCACTCAATATCACAAGGACCACAAAATCAATCACACACTAAATATTTACATAAAAATAATCAATTTGTTTGTGTGTGAAACTATTATATATAGTAGTTTGATTATATATACATACATATTGCATACATATATAGTTTGATTATACATACATACATACATACATACATACATACATACATACATACATACATACATACATACATACATATATATATATATATATATATATATATATATATATATATATATATATATATATATATATATATATATATAATATGATTTATAATTTCATATATTTATATATATACATATATTTTTTTGGTAATTGTTATATCCATATTTCCACACTAGTGTGGTTAGGACAGTTCTTTATAATGACATAAATGCCATTATGAAACAGTTAAAACAATGTTTTACAACTGAATGCCCTTCCTGATGTTAACATGAGGCAGGTTGTACTGGATTACATGTTATCAGTAGCAGGATAACCTGACTTGACATAAGGATAACCTGACCTGACTGTGCATATAATATTGTTATTATATATACTTTTAATTGAAGCTGATATGATATATGAAACTGAACAACTAAACTGATACTACTATTAGTAGTATCAGTTTATCAGTTTAGTAGTTCGGTTATTAGCTTCATATATTCTATCAGCTTCAATTAAAAATATATATAATAAATATATTATATATATATTTATATATAAATATATATTTTTAGTAGTACTAAAATATTAAAAAGTAATCCAAATACAAAACAACTTAATTTTTTTTTTTTTTTCTATTGTACAGATTACAAACCTGTAATAAATATATATATAGATACATATATATATATATATATATATATATATATATATATATATATATATATATATATATATATATATATATATATATATATATATATATATATATATATATATATATATAAATATATATATATATATATATATATATATATATATATATATATATATATATATATATATATATATAAATTTATATATATATATATATATATATATATATATATATATATATATATATATGTATATATATATATATATATAGTATATACATATAATATATATATATATATATATATATATATATATATATATATATATATATATATAAAACATAATATTATATACAATGTTTTATATATATAAATATATATATATAATATCATTATTATATATTGATATCAGACTATATCTGTAATTGTAGATTTCCTCAAATATTAACTAATTAAATATTATAAATATTAATATGACATGCTTCCTTTAGCCGATCAACCACACGATAAATATACATGCACTGTAATTGCGTACTGGTGTACCTTTGCAGGACCGCCTACAGTTTACCAGTGCTGGTGCGCCTTTATAGGGCCTATGTAAGGCCAACGACGGCATACCAGCGCTGGAGAACCGTTATCGGCGTAACTATGGTCCAGACATGTCTAACCAGCACTGGCGCGCCTGGTATAGTTTAGTGTTGGTCCTTAATTGGTACGCCAGAGCTGGCCAGCCAGCAACGGAGCGATTGAGTGCTGCTGACTGGGAGAACACCTTTTTTTTTATTAAAAATTTATAATATTCTATTTGGGCTTTAGACACATCTACTTGGGCTTTAGATGCATTTTCAATTGCATCGCAAATACGCTCTAAAGCAACAACCTCTCTGATTCGTAGCTCTCGTGAATGGATTTGAACATCTAGATTTTTATTTGCTATTTTTAAATATTCAGAAGAAAAATTTGTTTTTTTTATTTTTTCTCACCTGTTCAGTTTTTTCTATTTTATTTAAAGTTTTTTCATCATCAGAGTTCATTCGTTTATTGCAGCCGGATGTAGGTTGAGTTGGTTCCTCATCAGGAATAGTGACAATTGATTGCACATCACTTGTATCATCCAAAGCTTCAATATTTAAAATACTAACAGTCCCCTTGCCATCTTCCATTGTGGCAATCTGTAAATAAAATATACACATTAAAAGAATTACACATTTGAGAAATGATTATAAATCATGTTTCAATCAAAATTTATCTCTTGACTTTGAAAGACTTGACTTGAAATCATTTTACTCCCTTCCTTCCCTAAACAAAAAGGATCTATTTAGACAATAGCATTTTACAAATTGATCTAGCCAATATTAAAAGATCCCTTTTATAATTCAAAAACTTTATATTATATGTTTTTGATCTTTATGCTTTAAGTCTCCCAAATGTTGCAAAACTAAGAACCTCTTAAACCTCATTTTGTAGAAATAGTTAACATGCTTGTTTATATTACTGTAAAAAATATATAGCACTTTAAAATATACAACAATAAATTATACTAAACTTACCTGACCATCTTGAAAATCTTGAGTAGAAAAGTTTTGACTTTAAGATAAAAGGTCATTGTCAAGGGAAGCTTCACTACCTATTATTTTGGCAACAATATCGTAAGGCCACCATTTACTAGGAGCTCCTCCCGATGAACCAACTTGAAGTTTTTCTTGTCTATGAAAAATATGCATAAATATAAGTAAATATAAGCACATCATTAACACCGTATAACATTATTCAAATAACTTTAAATGGACAAATTATTATTAACGAAATAATTATTAACAAAATTAACGAATTATTAACAAATAATAAAATAACGAATTATTAACAAAATAATTATCAATGAGCTGTAAATCTTTAATACTGAATAAGATTTAAATAATTTTTAATATAACACTCAGTTACAAACTAAATTGCAATTAGATATTATTACACATGGTTAGTTTTGTAAAATACTTTCAGTATTTCAGTATTTCATATTAAGGTATCAAACATTAAATGTAGAATATGTACATACCTTAATTGTTTCCTCAAATTACTAATTTTAGATTGAATTTGATATCCATTTAACGGAGGTACGATATTAAATGTGTTTGAAAATTCAGCTGCCATTTGTTTGTAAATACTTGTGTTTCTTCTTGCAGATGTTAATGCTTTGTTATTATCTTTCCATAAATCTAATAATACTCTTGTGTTAGCCATATTCCATACAAATTTATTCAAAGGAGATGTGCAAAGACCAATATTTGTTGTGCTAGCATCAATATACTCTTTTTCTGAATGCTGAGACATTGTGTAAAGTTAAAGTTTTACGTACTAAAAAGGATAAGTACATTGAATCTTGCAACAATAACAACTACAACAACAAAAAGAAGAGAAATAGTTAATAATAAAATTAAAGTTTAAACTTCATAATTGCTATAAATGTTATGGGCTTAAAATAATTTAATAATGTTATGGGCTTACTAAATAAATTATTTAATTGCCAAAAACTGGTAGCCAAGAGAACAGAAACTTTCAGATGCTACTTTTACTTTTTTTTACTTTTCCATGCAATATGATAATTATGTGATTTAATAACATTGATCTTTCAACACTATTGTTTATTTTTATTTTTAAATGTCAATAATTGTAGTACATTGTGGCAAAGATATAAGGTACAGTCATATCAATACAGTCAATCAATAATATATATTCTGAATAAAGGTCTTACTTTCACAATTATTCACAAACAGTAAATTAACTAATATTAAGTAAATACAGAATATTTATGAGGAAAATACTAATGGTAATGTTCACAAATTAAAATAACAAGATAAGACAAAGCTAATTTAATAAAATATATATGACATATAAATAAAATATATGACAAAGCTCATATATAACAATATATACCAATAATATAATCATTAATAATATTAATATATATAATAATAACAATGATGATAATAATGATAATAATATTAACAATTGTTATTGTTATTATTGTTATCATTATTATTACTATTGTTATTCTATTATTATAATTATTAGAATAATAATAATTATTATTATTTTTATTATTATTATCACTGTTGGCAAGACCAATGATAAACAACTCTGCTTATTAGTTCAAAGTTGAATTTTATAAATAAAATTACTATAAGTTTATTAAAAATGCATTAATAGCAATGCTTGCAAAGAATATAATTAAATAAAAACTATTAAATAATAAAAATTAAACTTTCTTAACGCAAGTTAAATGTTACCTTGAATTATACTTTTTTTTAATTCAAATTAAAACTGATCTTAATAAGAATAATACTGTCTTTGTAATGTTATATTTTAAGATTAAGTTTTAAACACACATATATGATTTCTTTTTAAATTAACAATACACTAATAATAAAATTTCTATACTATTTATACAAATTTCAAATATCGTTAAAAATAACTTGAAATTTGTGATGGCTAAATAATTGTTTTTAAATAATTGCCCACCATCTGGTCTACTCATGATTGATCCCACACGAGTGGGATCGGAATTTCCCTGGTTGCATGAAATTACCACAAGTTTTTACTCAATGAATAAAGATGTGAAATTATATTCGAAGAAATGTTTTGAATTCAATAAAAAAGATGGAAGACAAAAACTAAATGTTTCAAGGCAACATGTTGAAAGGCAAATAGTATATCGACAATCTTGTCTTGATATATGACCAAGACATAGGACAATGCAGAGATCAAGGACTAAAAACTCTGGTTAAGATGACAACAACTTTGTAAAAAAAATAGTTTAAGTTACTTTCTTAACAAATTTGCATCTTGCAATGCATTTTTATTGTTATTTTTATTTTTATTGCATCTTGCAATGCATTTTTATTAATCATTTAGCTTATATGCATACGCTTATTTTAAAAATAGTTGAAAATAGGCACCATTTTTATACAAATCAAAATAAATGTTCCGGAACATTTATTTGTTCTGGGTTGGCGGGACGGTACAAAAGTTCCTCAAATGTTCCTTGAATTTTTGTTCCATTTGCGTTCACACGAGAGGATATTTGTTCATGTTCCATGTTTCACGGAATGTTCCATCAAATTTACCCTCGTGTGAACAGCCTATTAGGGGTCTCAAAGTAACATAGTTAATTTTTAAGAATCTTCAGGGAGTATTCATTATTTTTTTTTTTCAGGAATTTTAAAGTAACGAGTTTTTTTAATATATAAAAAACATTAGACATAAAATAATATTTTTAGAAAAATTTATAAAAATATAAACATTATCGTTGTAATCAACGTATATATATATATATATATATATATATATATATATATATATATATATATATATATATATATATATATATATATATATATATATATATATATATATATATATATATATTTCATTTAATATAGGCCTTTTTACACAATAAAAAGAACTATTTGTAAAGCTGAATAGTTTTATTATTATTATTATTATTATTATTTTTATTATTATTGTTATTATTGCTATTATTATTATTATTATTATTATTATTATTATTATTAATATTATTTTAAATATGTAAGACCTAATGAAATTTATAAAGTAAAAAAAAAAAGAAAAAAATTACTTTTCTTGTGATTTTTACTTGAGAATTTTTTTCTCTAAAATTTGTTTAAAAGTTCCTCTTTGTTCTTTTGAATTCCAGCACTCTATTGCATACTTCAAAATGTGTTCAAGTTCTGAGAGAATTTCATATTTTAGATAATGCTGTTATTACATTCTTTTTACTTTGAATTATGTTTTGAAAATGTAACATCTAAAAACGACATAGGTCCTGGATAACACCAACAAACAAATGTTGAACAAAAGGGCATTTCAGTAGTAAAAACATAATGTCTGCAGTTGTTTTATTATTAAGAAGACTAAGGAACAAGTTTTTTTAATTTTTTATAATACTTTTTAAAATTTTATGGATTTTAAATAGCAAATTAGTATAGTTATTACTGTGTTTCAAAAAGTTTAAAAGCGATTTTAGCGTACTCCAATTATATCTAGCTTTTTTATCAATGCACATTTTTAATACAAGCATTGCTATTTTTTTAAAGTTTCGTGTATAGCTATTTGAGCGCTGCCAGCAATTATTTTATAGATTTGAACAAGGTTGTATTCATAATTATCAGTAAAATTAAGATTGTTAAAGCAATTGGTTAAATTATCGTTATATAAATTTAAAAAGTTAGAATCCTTCCAAGCGTAGCTAGGAATATTATTACCTTCGAAAATTTCAATGGCATTTTATTAAGTGTGCTTACCTCTAATTTTAAATAACGTTAATAGTGGAAATTGAATTTATATTAGTACTAATGATGAACAATGCATTTAAGATTTAGAAAATTTGCATATTTTGGTTTGGCAACGTGATCAATATATGACAAATTCGGTAGTGTCTAGTGTCGATATGCATAAGTCGGCCAATAATATTTAGTACATCTAATAGTTCTAAGTGATTAATTTTTAAAAATTTCAGATAAGTGCACAGAACAATTATTTATTTTGGAAATTAGATCTTTCAAATAAACCATATAATTAGTGTGAAAAGATTGGAAGTCACCGGCTATAATTATATTCCCGTTACCTTCTTAACTATTAATTTGACCATTGACGATATCTAGTTGACTTTTGTATTCTTCCAGTGATGAGAGGCTATTCTTTAATGAGGAGAGATATTTTCCAATAACTATAATGTTAAGTTCATTTGTTTTAAAATTTATTGCTATAAAATGGTTACCCTTGTAAACTTCTTTATTATTTTAGGATTGATTTTTTCGTATAAACAAAGAACCACATACCTTTTTAAGTATGATAACTAACCTGATATAGTTTGATCATTTATTTTGTTAACTGATTTTAAAAAAGGTGATCTTATTTTTTGTAACTAAGAATGCAGTATAAGCAAATTATTGGTACATAATGATAAAAAAATAAGATAATACATAATACAACATAATTCTAAATTTTTATCAAAATAATTACCTCACAATCTTAGTTACAAAGAATAAGATTACCTTTTTTAAAATAAATTAACAGAAAAAAATGACCATATTTCATCAAGTTAATTATACTTAACACGGTCGGTGGTTCGTTCAGCGCCTAAATAACTTGTACCACTTTCTTTGAAGTATCCAAGATACTTCAAAAGAATCTTCTCTAACACGATGTTGTATAAAAAAATCTACAAAATCAGATTAATTTTCATTATATTTGATTAGGAAAATTTTGTTGTAAAATTAATTTGTCTACTTCTTTATCTATTATTTTTTACATTATTTAATTGTTTGTGCTTTCAACAGCTGCATTACGTATTATACGAGGCTTTAAGTTATAACTTATATCACTTAAAAATTCTTTAGTCTTAAATTTACTTGAACAACAATAAGGAGTTTTTGATATAATTCCTATATATATATATATATATATATATATATATATATATATATATATATATATATATATATATATATATATATATATATATATATATATATATATATATATATATATATATATATATATATATATATATATATATATATATATATCTATACATATATATATATATATATATATATATATATATATATATATATATATATATATATATATATATATATATATATATATATATATATATATATATATATATATATATATATATACATATATATATACATATATATATATATATATATATATATATATATATATATATATATATATATATATATATATATATATATATATATATATATATATATGTATATATATATATATATATATATATATATATATATATATATATATATATATATATATATATATATATATATATATATATATATATATATATATATATATATATAAATATATATATATATATATATACATATATATATATATATATATATATATATATATATATATATATATATATATATATATATATATAATATATATATATATATATATATATATATATGTATATATATATGTATATATATATATATATATATATATATATATATATATATTTATATATATATATATATATATATATATATATATATATATATATATATATATATATATATATATATATATATATATTGTTGAATTACTGTTTTGAAAAATTAATCACTTAGAACTATTAGATGTACTAAATACTATTGGCCTACTTAAACATATCGACACCAGACACTACCGAATTTGTCATATATTGATCACGTTGCCAAACCAAAATATGCAAATTTTCTAAATCTTAAATGCATTGTTCATCATTAGTACTAATATAAATTCACTTTCCACTATTAACGTTATTTAAAATTAGAGGTAAGCACACTTAATACAATGCCATTGAAATTTTCGAAGATAATAATATTCCTAGCTACGCTTGGAAGGATTCTAACTTTTTAAATTTATATAACGATAATTTAACCAATTGCTTTAACAATCTTAATTTTACTGATAATTATGAATACAACCTTGTTCAAATCTATAAAATAATTGCTGGCAGCGCTCAAATAGCTTTACACGAAACTTTGAAAAAAAAAGCAATGTTTGTATTAAAAATGTGCATTTATTAAAAAAAATAAAAAAACTTGTTCCTTTGTCTTCTTAATAATAAAACAACTGCAGACATTATGTTTTTACTACTTAAATACCCTTTTGTTCAACATTCGTTTGTTGGCGTTATCCAGGACCTATGCCGTTTTCAGATGTTACCATTTCAAAACATAATTCAAAGTAAAAAGAATGTAGTAATAGCATTATCTAAAAAATGAAATTCTCTCAGAACTTGAACACATTTTGAAGTATGCAATAGAGTGCTGGAATTCAAAAGAACAAAGAGGAACTTTTAATCAAATTTTAGAGAAAAAAATTTTTAAGTAAAAATCATAAGAAAAGTAGTTTTTTACTTTTTCTTTTTACTTTATAAATTCCATTAGGTCTTACATATTTGAAATAATAATAGTAATAATAATAATAGTATTCAGCTTTACAAATAGTTTTTTGTAGTGTGTAAAAAGGACTAATTAAAATGCTTTACTATATGCATGTATTTGTTTATTCAAAAGTTGTTTAGTTCTGCATTAATTTGTGCAGCACCGAGCTATAATTGCGTAATTCAGATAACAATGAATTAGAAAAATAATAGCAAATTTACAAAATTTTATAAAATAGGCCAAGAATTCTTGATATTTTAATTTCAAGATAATGAATATGATCTGTCAGAGTTGGGCTTTTGTCAAGGGTTACGTCTACAAACTTTAACAAGTGTTCTTTTTTTATAGCCTTTCTGCCAATACTAAGTATTGGAAATTTTATGGGGGATTTTATCGCGTTTTATAAAGCAATAAAAGTCTCTCTTTGTTTTAGCTAAATTGATAATTTATTTACTTTAATCCATTTTGCAAATTTTAAGAATTCCATGTTGATTAAATTAAACGACATTTTTATGTCATTATGAACATGACATAAATTTGTACTATTATTATACAAAGTAACGTCTAGAAAGTTACAAGATTAGCTCAAATCATTATACAAATTAAAAATTAGAGTGGTTCTAAAATTGACCATTAAGGAACCCTGCAGTTTATATTTATTTTATCTGCACTCTTCCTATAATATTCTTATAGTTAATCCGTCACCTATATCATTGGATTCGTTTTATAACATCTAAACAACTCAGAGAAATTCCTAATGCTTGACAAAAATCAAAGATTGATGTCTATGCCAACAAACTGTGTATAAAATGTCAATGTTTACATAAACCTTTGATAAAGTAAATATTGAGAAGCAGCCCTGGAGTAGAAAATGATTATAAACAAAAAAAGGCTCCATGTTTATATATAAGTTGCAAAGCGTGTAAGGTATTTATTTCTAAGTATATTACTTATTTTACGATGATTTGAATATATGTTAAAATATTTATAAGTATATTCAGAGTTATGTATTATTTTAGAAATTAATATTCATAATACCCATAAAAAAGAAATTAGTGAATTACAACTATAATTTGAAAACTTTATTACGTTCTTTTTCAATAAACGAATAACAAAAGATGTTACTCAGTATAATATAGTTTTAAATATTTTTTCGTAATATACAGATGTTAATAACAGTGCAAATCATTAGAAATACAAAAACATCGTAAAAAAATATGCATATATTTGAATGGAGAGATGAATTTTATTTCAAAGCTAATAATTGCATTAAAACTATTATTTTACAAAAAACATACAAAATAAAAACAAAAAATGTCAATTACTTAGAAAAAAAAAATGCGCCTAATTTAAAACACTGCATTTGAAGGGAAGTAATTGACAATTTTAAAACGTTAAAAAAATTTTAACTTTGTAAAAATTTTGTGCAATATTTTAAGTACAACCTTCATGCAATATGTTATTTAGTAATATCTAATAGGTCGAAAAAACATTTATTCGTAGAGTTAATATCAAAACAGGTCTGTTTAACAATTTTTTTCAATAAAAAAGATTGAGGTCTCATCCAGAACGACTACGGGCGGTTTCTGAAAATAGAAAATACGTTATAGTAAATTTACACATTTTGAAAATAGAAAATGCTCAAATGTACGTTTACGTATAACGTAACATTTTTTAGATTAAATTAATTTTATTCGCGTTTGTCACAATGTAAATATAAATTAATGTAAAAATGAATTGCAAAATTTAATGCTTAGAGTTTTTGACTGCAGCATTTGTCTTTTGCAAAGAAAATTATTTTCATATTTCTACTTAATAAATTTTTTGAATTGCTTGCTATTTTAAAAAGTATTTTGGAAGAAATAAATCTTTTTTTTCATTTTTCCTAACTTATTTGAAATAAATAAAAGCTTTTTTTTATTTATTTCAAATAAGTTTATAATCTATATTTTGTTTACGTGGATAGTAGAGATCATGATAAAATATAAACTTGATTAGACTAACTCTTATAAATGCAGAAATTTGATTCAAAAATAAAATTTGAAATCAATATTGAACATGCTTAAATAGAAGATTGAATTTTTCAAGGAGAGATTACGCTAATTCATTGGATAAAAGCTTCCAAAAATTGCTTTATTCAATATTATAAACTTTTGTAAAAATATTGTTGTCTGTTACTGTTTGTAACAATTAAGACAGTGATAGGCCTCGATGGTTATTAGCTAAGTTTTATTAGAAAAAAGTATGTAAAAAAAGATATAATTTAACCACCACTCGGCGCATTTTGGATTTGCTCACTTATTAAAAATAATGGCGGTAACTTAGTTGATAGACAAGAATTTTGCAATCAATTTAGTATCCATTTTTATAATATATTTGAGTTGGTCTAAACAAAAAAAAATCTCACTATACATTTAACTCTTGAATTGCAAAAGGAATGCAAATAACCCAGAAAACATTCTATACTGGAATTTTAGTGGACATGTGTAGACATTTTGAGCAGTCTGCGGTTGTTTTGCTCATCAGTTATATAGTGGAATATTAGTGGCAGCCGCCAAATATGGCAAGACAATGACTAGCTACAATTAAGATTTCAAAAAATCATTGACTAGTCATTTAAAACTGCTGCATCTAATGGTCTGTGAAGTAACCGATGAGCAAAACTCCAATGAACCGCTCTAAATGCCGGATCTGTTAGAAATAATTAAAACAAGTGGGTTATAAACAACTTGCCTAGCTTAATTGCTTCAGTTAAAACCAGTGTTCCTTCATCTCGTTAAAACGTTTGATTTAGTGCCGAATAATGTTATTATTACAAAACCTAAAGCTTACGTTGTTCATTCATTAAAAAATAAAAGCAGCCATGTGGTAGTGATGGGTATTTACTGTTGGACTGGTGAAAAATTGTTAACTTCAACAAGACTCTTGTATAGAACATCTATTTTTTTATACTTATCAATGATATTCCAGAAATAATGATACATTTCATTAAACTTTTTTCTAACGATACAAAACTTATTGCAATAATAAACAATGAAACAGATATATATTTCAAACACATATTAGCGCAGCTGCGAAACAGGCTAGCGACTGTTTATATGTATATTAAAAAGTTATAACATTTACGTATACAAATATAAGATAAATGGTTAGAAACAAAAATGCAAGATAAACCGTTTGTAAGACCACAACTTGAAACATTAGCATGGAATCCTAACACAAAAAATACATCAAAAATCTTAAAAGAAATCAAAGACAACCTACAAAACTAAAATCTCTAACAACAATATAAAAGTAAATAAGTAAAGCGCTAAAAAACAATCGTACTAGCATCGGCTCCAAGTTATTGGAGGAGCAATTATAAATAATCAACTCACCATCATCAAACAAAACAAGTCAAAAAAAAGCTTAAAATGACTTAATAAAGATTTGTTAAAGGGAAAGTGAAATAAAAACAGTTTTTTTTAATAGTATGTAGTAGTTGTAAGAACAAAACAAAATTTGATATGAAATTTTGTTTTGCTGTTAAAGCTTTACATTTCTTCAAAATCAAAACAAAATTGGCAATAAAATTAGCGCAGGTAGGTCTGAGGTCTTCCATAAAGTACGAACGCATGTATAGGGGAAGGTTGGTATCCAAAAACGCACGAATGCGTAAAAGGGTAAAGAATTTAAAGATAGCATTTATCTCTTGTTGTTCATTTCTCCTAATATACTTTAGTATATTATTTTATTATATATTTAATAAATCAGAACCAAAAAACAGCCTCGGAGGTCTTCTGAAAAAATACTAACCTGATTACTTATTATAAAAATGATTTTATTAGCATGCTCTTCATAAAACGTTATCTTCATGATTATCTATTTAAAAACTAAAGAAAAAAAGACTTGCTTGAATATAAAAATCTATACTGATTTAATAATTTGAACATTATAAACAATATAATTTTTCCCGGAGTTAAAAAAGTAAACTTGAACATTGATTAAAGTTTACACTAGAAAAAACTAGAAACGAAATTTAAAAGAAAAGAATAAATGCCGAATTTAGATAATAGTGAGCGCAGTCAAGAAAAAGTGAACTGCAGAAGATCCTATTCAGCAACATGCTCAATATGCTTTTTAGTCAGTAAAAAAAAGCCTCTTTTTTATAAAATGCTACAAAATATGTATAAAACATAGAATACAAATTTATGCAAAGCAGCACATCTAAGAAAAAAACTGAGTAAACTTTAATAAGATATATTTCAAACATAGACGTGTTTTATTCCCAGACCTTAACCGCAGGTCGTGCACAATAGTGGCATATTCAACGGAAGTAAGTTACAACTTCCGCTGGTTATATTTTAGGTAATACTTTGTAATAATTTGTTTTACTTAGATAACTAAATAATAAAAGGACTTTCTATATATAGGAAAGTCTTTCTTTCCTATCCATTTTTTTAATTAAAGTTCTGCTCAGTGATTTTGTTGCGAAAAAATCAAAAAAAGCTGTCAAAAAAAAAAAAAAAAGATAAACAAAAATGAAGGGTCACTAACAACACTACGACTTTTTAGTTATACGGTAATAAGTAGCGTATTATTATATAGCGGTAGCTATAGTATTTTATAATGTAAATTAGATCAAATTTTGCAGGTCACGCCGGTGCATGACAGGCAAGACCCGTTGACACGCCTATGATTTTAAAGAAGCCTGCTTAACTTTTTTTAAGTAAAATCTTGTCTCTGAAATATTAATACAGCAACAAAATTTTAAATCTACGTCGATTTTTACTTACTCTATAGAATGTATAATAACATTAAAAGTTCGATTCATATTCCAACTCCTGTATATATGAGCTATCTAAACAAAAAATAAAATCAAAAAATAATACCTTTACTCAAAAATTTTATTATTACTTATAAATAAATTAAAAAAAAAACAAATTTCTTACTGCATCTTGGATTTTAACACTAAGTATTGGTAGTTGAAAATCGGTGTAAACTTCAATAAAATTTACATTAATATTCAAATATGCACCTGTAAAGTTTTAAAAAAGCTTTGTTAAATTTTTTCAAAATATGTAAAAATATATTTATAATATAGTATTACCAACAATTAGGAAATGACAGTGCCCTCCGCGAAAAAATGATTTTTATATTTATAAAATTAATCTAGTTGGAGATATTACCCGGAGTCGCGTTATATAAATAGCTGGTTAAGTAAGTAGACAAACAGTTCTGCGCATGCATAAAAACGCTGAAACACTTAAAACAAGGATCCTAAAACCTTGCGTTTAATAAGTAATATTGCTTATAAACGAAAAAGATGGCTGGCCATAATTGCTTTGTTGGAGATGTTAAAAAATATTTTAATGATAGGACGACAAAGAAATGTATGAATTTAAAACATTGGAAACCATTTCTGAAAAATCCTGAAAAATTTCAGTTTACTGGTACGTAATAACATTAAAAGTAATTTTAAATTTGACTTTAACTTTATTTGAAGATTTAGAATTAAATCTCAGGTAAAATGTATATGTTGTATACTAATGTAAATGTGCGCATAATTAATAAACGATTGCAAAAATTCCAGTCAATATTCTGATATGACTTATTGAAATATACAGAAGAAATAATTTCAAATGAAAATATACAAAAGTAACCGTTGCATACACGTTTTGCATACACATGTCACATGTATTTACAAATGTTTACATGTTATGTAAACGTTTGCATATAATATACATATATATATATATATATATATATATATATATATATATATATATATATATATATATATATATATATATATATATATACATATATATATATATACATATATATATATATATATATATATATGTATATATATATATATAAATATATATATATATATATATATATATATATATATATATATATATATATATATATATATATATATATATATATATATATATATATATATATATATATATATAGATATACCGCGCAAGAGCATTTAATAGAAAGTTCACGCCTCCTTCCCAACCGATGTCGCAAAACTTGCCCAGAGGTGGGGTTTGAACCACCGATCTTACGTTTCTGAGGCAAGTACCCTACCACTGCGCCACGGCTTCCTAAATATCAAAATCGAAATAAAATCTTCGTGTTTTGTAAAAAACTGCTACGAAACAAAATAGGTTTTAACTTAATAAAATACAAAATAACTGGTACAAATCGAAATAAGGTTAAACTTTTTAGTTAAACTTTCGTTTACAAAAAGTTAGGTTGTAAGTATTAAACGCGAATACATTGTGCTTGAATGTTAAAGTTTATGTATTGCTCGGGAGTGTGTGAATCGTAAAATATCTGATTGAGGCAGGAGAATTTTGAAATGTTCCATAAAAACTGATATAATGCGAAATAAAATTTTTTTATTTCGCAATAATACGGAAGTAACGAAACAAACGTTACTAGTTTAAAAAAAAATACGAAACAAAACGATATGATTTCTTACTGTTTCGTAGGAACGGCACAAAACGAAAACTTTTGTTTTCTATTGTGTGAAACCGAACTTCCGAGAGAATACGAGAAGATACAGATGATTATTAAATACATAAAAAACTGTTCAATAAAACCGTTTAAAATCAAACATTTTTACAAACGAATTAAAAACTACGATAGAAAGTCTTCTTACGTATTAAAATACTTTACTAAAAAATTAGTGCAATATCGATATTTGAATAATATTTCCACCTTTTTATTGAGCAGGTTATTTTCATTGTGATATATAGTTATAGTTTTTTTATGAAGGTAAAGGTTACAAATTTTTTATGCTGTTATAATAGGTTTACAGCGTTTTATAATTTCCCACTTTGTTGTATACTTTACGTTTTTTTCTTTTAAACTCCAAATCTTTATAGAATGCTCGGTATCACTTTTGTATTTCACAGCATTAAAATGTTTTAAATGATTTGCTATTCTAAGTTTGAATGGTGTCTCGCTGATTCCGAAAAATATTTTCTTTTTCTTTAGGAATGAGTTTTTCATCAAGCTCAGGTTTTTTTTATGAATTTTATTTTTATTTAAATTTATGTGTTTCTTTTCAATAATCTCAGATTTTAACGTGTATAATATATAAATCTCTATATAAATCACTTATCAAATTTTTTGATTTTATATTGTGTTTTATCAATTAAGACTCATCAGAAATTTCAATTAAGACTCATCAGAAATACTTTTGTAAGAGGCGCAGTGGTTAGAGTTCTGGCTCAGAACCCAGAGGTCCGAGGTTCGACGCCAGCTCTAGTCAAACAAGCGACATTGGTACGGAAAGAGGCGTGAACTTCCTGTTAAATGCTCTCCCGTGGTGCTCTATGACAAGACCGCAAGGACTTCTGGGAGCACCTAAATTCATACAAAAATAAATAAATAAAATAAAATAAATATTGTTGAAGTTATTAAAACTTCAATTTATACCATCTATCAAATTAAAATATTAAGGATGGACCAATTGGTCTATCCCTAAAACAGCATACAATTAATCAAAAAAAATGCAAATAATGTCTGCAAGAAAAAGTTTAAATAACTACAAAATAATGCAAAATAAGAATGTTTATTACAATAAAAAATAGGAATTGATTTCTAAATGCAAGTGTAAAAATTAGTTTATCTTAAAACAATAAAAATAAGTGAGCTCGAAAAATAATCCCCTATCTTTTTATAAAAAAACCGAATTAGTTCTAAGGAATTATTTATTCAATAGAGTCATAATATTCCACTAAGGTGTGAAAACTTACAGTAGTCTTTAAAGTTTATTCACAGTAAAAATGTCTTTCATTTATGACTTCATGAATATGTAATATATAAATTGAAGTTTTATTTTTTTTTACTTTTTTTCATATTCTTGGAAAAAAAAGAGTGAAATATATTTGTTTAAAATCATTAAAAAAAAATGCAACTTACTTTTGCAATTTTGTATTGCACAAACTTCAGAATCTTTAACGCTTCCGACACAATCCCAACCACCGAAACGTGGCATAGGACTTGAACAGCTGCGAAATCTTAATTTAACACCTCCACCACATGGCTGGCTGCATAATGACCAAGAAGACCACATTGACCAATTGCCATTTACTGTTAAGAAATGAAAATAAAAATTATTTCTCATAAATAACAAATAAACTAAAAGTTAACTATTTTATATTAAAATAACTGTTTATGTTTACATAAAATATAAACTATGTACTTTATTATATAATTACATCCTTTTGACAAACCTGGACATATTATATCTGAGTTACAGTCTTCAGTAAAACTGCTGACACCCATACAATGGCGACCATTAATTGATGGACGTGGATTATCGCAAACTCTATTATAAAATTTAATTCCACTACCACATGATTTAGAACATGGTTGATACTTCCACTCTCCCCACATTCCATCCTCTAAAAGTGATGTAAAAATATATATCTTTTATTATTTAAAAAAAAACTAACATCTTTAGGTAAAAAATATCAATTTTGACTATTTTACAAAATAAGCTAATTTAGATGTCTGCAAAAGTTATTGAATACATATTTTCAAAGAGTTCTGAAAAAGTTCATAAATTTTTTTGGTTTGGTTTGGTTTTAAAAAAAGGTTTTACAAAGAGTTAACTTTTTTTAAAAAAGAGTTAACTTTTTTTAAAAAAAGGTTTTACAAAGAGTTAATTTTTAAAAAAAATTTTTTTTTAATTGTGTTTTTCTCAAAAAACGTAATAAGCATATTAAGGTGTTTTGAAAAACGGCTGCAACTTATATTTTTATTAAAACAATAGTAAAAAAAATGAAGCAAAAAAAACTTTTAATTGTATAAAGAAATTTTGAATTTTTTTTCTAGCTACGTGCTTTTTTTTTTGCTTCCACAGCAGTACTTTCTGGATTAGTAGGACTGTCTTAAAAAGTTATTTTTTATTAAGTTTCAGACTATCCACAGTTTATTAAGACTAATTACCTGAGCACATTAATAACAAAAGTATCAATCATGACACATATGCAACAATTTTTTTCTCCTGGTGTTTTGATGTTTTTAGAATTTAAGCTTTTTAAAAATCTTTTCGTTTGTTAAAGTATATAATATTGCTACATATGTTTGTATATAATCTCTATAAAACTTCAAAAGTATTTTTTATATAAAAAAAATCGAAACAAATGAAAAAAAAAGATTTCCATTGGTAGGACTCAAGCCAGTTTTACTTGTTCAGAAGCTCAGCGCGCTATCCAATCGACCACGCTGACACGTTGTTAAATAAAAAATTTTTCAAAATTTTTAAATGATTTTTTATTGTCAAAAAATGCAGTAGGGCATTGGATGCAATGGCTGCCAAGGATTCCGTGTTAAACTCGCTCAAATGGGCACTACTGCTACTGCTACTACTACTACTACTACTACTACTACTACTACTACTACTACTACTATATAGTACTACTACTACTACTACTACTACTACTTCTACTACTACTACTACCACTACTATATAGTACTACTACTACTACTACTGCTACTACTACTACTACTACTACTACTACTACTACTACTATATAGTACTACTACTACTACTACTACTACTACTACTACTACTACTACTACTACTAATACTACTATATAGTACTACTACTACTACTACTACTACTACTACTACTACTACTACTACTACTACTACTACTACTACTACTACTTCTACTACTACTACTACCACTACTACTACTACTACTACTACTACTGCTATTACTAACATTATTAAGTTTTCAATAATATATAGAGGTAGTAATGCTGTTTTTTTTATGAAAAGGTGTTAATTGTCAATGTTTTTAAATTCATATTTCTTATTTAGTTTATCAAAATTGATTGGTAGATTGGTGCACAGAAAACAAAAAACGAGGACAGGCAGCATTAAAAACAGGAAAGTCTCCTTTAATTAAAAATCGTGGTACAATAGAAAGAAGATAAGATGGCAAAGTTAAGAATGTAAAAAAAGGAACATTTGAGAGTGTTACATCAAGATGATGAGAAAATAGTTTTTTTTATCAGAAACAAAAACAGAGCCCATCAGGGACTATATAAGAATAAAGTTTCTGAAATTTTTTTGGATGTTCTAAGAATCAGAGATCATTTAAACAAAAATGGAAAAGGTGGAAGAAAGTTTATAAAACTATCACCAAGTGCAATAACAGCCCTACAAAATGGAAGGTAAGTAAATTTATTATTTTTACTAATTTGTCAACATTCAAACAGGTGCACGGGTACAGTAGATATTAAATAGATGTAAAATACTGAACCTTATTATCCAAAATATTTAGACTCGGGAAATCATTTTGGAAAAGATGGCATGCTGAACATGATGATATTGTCATTAAAAGGCAAAGCCGAATTAAAATGAAAAGAGCCCTAAATTGTACTAGGGAGATGGCTACTGATCATCTAGGTAAACATTTTTTATCACATGTTGTTTTTTTAGTTTAGCCTGTATATAAAAAGATCTCATTTCAATTTCATTCTCAAGTGTACTACAACTTGGTTTTTATTCTTGAATAAGTTTATGCATTTTGTACGTTGATAATTTATGTAACTTGAATATATTACTAATTTTACTAACTTTTTTTTTACAACTTGGTTTTTATTCTTGAATAAGTTTATACATTTTGTACGTTGATAATTTATGTAACTTGAATATATTACTAATTTTACTAACTTTTTTTATTCCAGATGCCTTAGCTGATGAACTGATAGCTTGTAATACAATGAAGAACTATAAAAAAATAAAAAATGGTGTATGGGTTGGTGATATTGCAACTGAAAGAGTTTTCAATCATGATGAAACACCACAGTTTGTCAACTTCGGTGTAGATGGTGCTGCCACTGGGTTAGTTTATGCGGGCAAAGGAGAGACACGTAAAAAAATGATTCGCAAAAAAAGAGAGTGCATAACTATAAATCCATTTGTTTCATTATCAGGTGAGCCAACTAATCAACTTTTTACAACTAAAGTGGTTGCTTTTATAGTTTTATATTTTGAAAAGTGAAATATAATAATTATACCTTTAGGGGAGTTTTCATTGTGTCAGGTAATATTTGCTGGCAAAAGCATAACGGGCCTGATGGCACCTAGAAAAGCTGTCAGTAACATCAAAAATTTGATCATCTCGAAAACAGAGAGTAGTTTGCAAGATAACTGTTCATTATTGGCTGCGTATAAGAAACTTGATTAAAATCTCACCGAACAAGGTATAGAGCAACCAGTTGTACTTCAATCAGATGGTCATCGTCGCGATTTGACTTTATAGTTCTAATTTTTTTGCGTGAAAAGCAAATCAATTTATTACTATACTACTTGAGTCACACAGAGACCGAGCACCAAATCAACAGCTCCATCGATATTATAATAACACCCGAGATGTACTCTTTTCCTTATTCCAGACATAAAATCGAGAAAAATTCCTGAATATCTTGGAACAATGTGGAACAGTTGGGCATCTGCTGCCAATATCGTAGCAGCTGCTAAGAGAGTTGGTATAAGAATGGTCTTAATGTTGATGATATGCAACGGGATAAATTTGAACAAGCAGCTCTACTTATTGATAAAAGTAATGATGTTTCTCTCGAGCCTTCTACTCCTAAGAAAACAAGAAGTGTGACCACAAAAAACGGACCCTTGGTAACAACTCCAAGATCACAATTTAAAGTCGCCTAAACAAAAGGAAGGTGTGGTTCAGCCACATACTGGAAATCAATGTATAAAATGTCACAATCATTCATTGAGGAATCATATAAAAAAACCTCAATTTAGCAGAAGTGCCTGGTTTACTTTCAGTAAACCGGGTAAAACCCAAGGAGGTTAATCAAGCAAAAACAACAAGAGTCACTAATGTGCATGGATCTATGGAGGCTCAAGATGTACTTTCAAAAGTGGCTTTTCTTAAAAGAGAAAAACAGAAAAAAACTCATGATTCAGAGGAGAAAAAGAAACCTAAGCTTAAAGAAAAAGAACTGTTTTATTGTTGCAAACTGCAATACTCTCGTGTAGAAAAATGTCTTGCAAAATCTTTAAAAGAATGTTATCAATGTCATTTCATTCTTGAATCTGTATGTTGTAAAATGGCTTGTCGCTTTGATAACAAAAAGCCGACAATGATTCTCCTTGATTCTTAAAAAAAAATGCTCTATTTTGATTCTGATTCAAATAAGTCTTAATGACTCAAAGATATTTCTTTAGATGAAATGTTTGTTTATTGCATGTCTCTTTTTTAAAATATTTTATTTTATTCATATTTTTTTGTCATTATATGTTATTCAAAAAATAATTATTGTTGTTATTAAAGCTATTATTGTGTTTTAACTTTTAACTTTTAACATTGTATATTTTGAATAATTGGAAATAAGAAAATAATAAGAAAATACTTTTCTTAATTATTTTTCATATTTCCTATTTTTCAAAATATACATTGTTATTGTATTAAAAGCTAGATTTCCTATTTTAAAACTAGTGACCCTTTAAAAACTACATCATAGCACTGCAAAAAAATACAAAATAAACACTTTTATGAGTTTGTAAGTTAGTTAATATTACATTGGTGGATTAGAACAAGTGTAACATTATCTAGAAATAAGTAAATTGCAAACTTAAAATTAAACTATTAAATTTAAAGTTATAAAATATTAAAAGTTGAAGTTTAATTATATGGAAAAATTGAAATATCTAATTTTATGTGTGTGACATCCCATATATGTTTACATAAATGAGTGAAGTGCCTGATAAACTTAAACAAGCATACATAGCTCTGTTATCTTTTTTTGTTAAAAATTTAAAAACTTTTAAATCTAAACATTTTCTGAATGTAGAAAATAAGACATTTCAATTATTATTTTTTTCTTTAAAAGTAAAAAACAAAACATTTTCATTAACGTTTTGTTCACAATTGATTTCTCTATGGTTAATACAAACATGATATAAAGTGATGGAACACAGACATCACAGAATCATCTGTGGTAAATAGATGAGGTTGGGGAAGAGATAAGGATCTAATGCTATTTTGTAAAAAGTTAAAAAAAACTTTCTTGTAATATTTTGTTTGAATTTATTTTATAAAAAGGAGGAGGATGGCTTTATTGTCTCATCACACACTTAGTATGTTGTAGTTGTATATTAAATATACAACTACAACGTACTAAGGGTGTGATGGAATAATAAAGGTGGTTTTTTTCCAATTTGAACCCCAAAGTCCTTTTTTCTATCTTAATATCTTTTTTTTTTTTGTTTTTTTAATTTAGGATTACGATAATGAAACCCTATTTATGACTATTGTGAATTGTTTAAATTCTTCGACAACAGTTAATAAGCAAAACACAGATGTCACTGATACATAGCTTGCAGACTATTACGAATAAGACAAATATCTTGATG